CCCCCACCTGTCTTAGATCAAACGCTCCCAACCCCCACCTGTCTTAGATCAAACGCTCCCAACCCCCACCTGTCTTAGATCAAACGCTCCCAACCCCCACCTGTCTTAGATCAAACGCTCCCAACCCCCACCTGTCTTAGATCAAACGCTCCCAACCCCCACCTGTCTTAGATCAAACGCTCCCAACCCCCACCTGTCTTAGATCAAACGCTCCCAACCCCCACCTGTCTTAGATCAAACGCTCCCAACCCCCACCTGTCTTAGATCAAACGCTCCCAACCCCCACCTGTCTTAGATCAAACGCTCCCAACCCCCACCTGTCTTAGATCAAACGCTCCCAACCCCCACCTGTCTTAGATCAAACGCTCCCAACCCCCACCTGTCTTAGATCAAACGCTCCCAACCCCCACCTGTCTTAGATCAAACGCTCCCAACCCCCACCTGTCTTAGATCAAACGCTCCCAACCCCCACCTGTCTTAGATCAAACGCTCCCAACCCCCACCTGTCTTAGATCAAACGCTCCCAACCCCCACCTGTCTTAGATCAAACGCTCCCAACCCCCACCTGTCTTAGATCAAACGCTCCCAACCCCCACCTGTCTTAGATCAAACGCTCCCAACCCCCACCTGTCTTAGATCAAACGCTCCCAACCCCCACCTGTCTTAGATCAAACGCTCCCAACCCCCACCTGTCTTAGATCAAACGCTCCCAACCCCCACCTGTCTTAGATCAAACGCTCCCAACCCCCACCTGTCTTAGATCAAACGCTCCCAACCCCCACCTGTCTTAGATCAAACGCTCCCAACCCCCACCTGTCTTAGATCAAACGCTCCCAACCCCCACCTGTCTTAGATCAAACGCTCCCAACCCCCACCTGCCTTAGATCAAACGCTCCCAACCCCCACCTGTCTTGGCTCAAACGCGCTGAGAACCCAGTGTGTCCTAAAACCAATGAGTCTCAACCAATGTTCCCTTTAAGCTGCACGGCCGCACAGCCATCTCACAGACACCGCGCAGCAGTTTTGAGTATCCGCCCAGAAAATTTCCATGTAAGTGTGTGTTTGTGTTTGACGGCTGTAAAATTTTGCACACAAAAAATTGATGCTGTAAAACTTTGCTGCACACAACCTTATGATTTTGCACACGAACCAACAAACCTTAGAGCGAACATTGGTCTCAAACCCAACCCTACTATTTAGCAACAACTATGAATGAATACATCACTTGCATTAATACCAGCAGGACTAAATACACCGCATCACCCACTTGCATGATCTTCTGTTCCTCCCAGATCAAATACAGGATGATGCAAAACTAAATTCAGATATGGGAGGCTATGCGCAGGTGGATTT